GCGTTTCATTCTCTCGGTGTTATTGATCTCTTCAGTTTTTCTATTTCTTCACGTGCCAATGTTGGCACCATTTTCAAAGTCAGCAACATTTAAACATTGAGAGCTATAAAAATCCAAATTTTAGGCTTTTCTTTGAAAAACAATGGAAGATCTAGCAACATGGGGGCTGCGTTCTCCCAAACAAAGCCTCAGCCCGCTGCCCGCCTGGTGGGAGTGTCTCTGCACACTGCCACAGGCCCATCTCACCCACTGGACCCCAGCCTGTGTGGCAACCCCTGCCCAAGGTGCCCACTGTCCAGGGGGCAACAGATGGAAATGTGGGACTTCATCCCATGGGTGGGGGCATCCCTGTGACAAACACCCAGGCACCCGGGCTAGTTCTGAACCTGCCTGGAGGGAGGTGGCTGAGCCTCCAAGGAGTTAAGTGGGCACAGTCAGCCAGGGCCCTCGTGGGCTGCGGAGATGAGCTGAGAGCGGAACGCCTGTGAGCACACAGCACACCGAGCCTTCGCCATCAGGGGCCATCAGGGGCCACCACAGGTGTTTGCAAGCCCCACGCACACAGCAGCTCAGAGCCCCTTCTCACACCCCGTTAAGATGCTCCAACATCTCTCAGGGTCCCCTGGGAGTGACACCAAAAGGACTGCGCCGAGCCCCTGGTCTGTCTCACTAGTTACAGTTGTTCATTCTCTCCTAGTGGCTTACGTTTCTAACGTATTTCAGACCTGCAGCCGGACAGGTAAACACCCCCCACCCCCACCCTGCAAAGAAACCTGCAGAAGAAACAGGTTCAGCCAGTTCCCAGAGTAAGGCCCCCTGAGTGGGCAGAGGACAGGGAGGGCTGCACCTGACCCCCTACCAGGGCCGGGGATACACCACATGCCCACACAGACCCGCCCACTCTCCCCAACCCCAACAACCCATGGTCTGCATTTTGGAAACTGCAGCCCACTAACAGGTGTGGAGTTATTGTGATTTTTAAGCAGAAGGGCCCCTGACACCGAGCACAGGACCACCTGCAGTAACAAAGAAAGCAACTGCTCAGCACTTGTAGCATTTCCCTACCTTTATTTCTTTAAACGTCTTATTTTGAAAAACGTCAAACTTTCAGAAGCGTGGGGAGGGTGTCAGAGCCAGGGAGCCGGCTGGATGACATCAGTGTGACAGGCACACGCGCGCCAGCCAGAGCTCTGCAGACTGAATGTGTGTGTTGACAAGGGACAGAGGAATTATGGGTAATGGCAACAAGAACGTTTTTAATAAGACCCCACCAAACACAGAAACTGGTGAGCTTTT